TTAATGACCTCTACTCTACAGTACCCTTAAGGAAATACTGTCGCCAGTATAAGTGAACATTTATACAGCAGTAACAGTAACCAGCCAGCTGTTCTCACCTGCATCTGTCGGCCGACATCATCAGCAACACTGAGTTGACGTTTGCCGATATCCATGAGTGCACGCATATTGCCAACATCTTCTTCGACATCGAATGACGGGGAAATGTGGCGTTTCAGACTCAATGCCGATCGTTTGTAAGCGTTATTCTGAAGCGATCACCACTGATCTCTATGTCTAAACTCGGAAAAGTTGTCTGGTACTAACCTCTGGCCCGAATCCATACATGCCCATGACAAGAGGATGCAATTCCGTTTCGAGTCGAACGGCTGGACTTAATTGTCGCTTAGCGCGTATCGAATTTGCGCCAACCATGCACACAACAAACGCCAACACAACGATCTGCGTAAACGCCATAACCTGTAATTTGCCTAACCTATTATTATAAAAATCATAGGTATTTGCAGAAATTGTCACGTATATGTTTTCTTTCCGAATTCTGCGACAATACGAACATCAGAATAGACGATCACGAAAATGATGGTTAAGTCGTAGGTGTCACTTGAGTTGAAATAGTATTTAAGACACATTCGAACTATACGGAATTTAAAGTTCCACGAAAATGCGATACAGTAACCCGAAGACACACACACACAAGCGTTCCCATACACCCGACACATATAGAACGCAACACAAAAATACTTTGGGCGAGGCACACGGGGTGAGTGGTGGGCATTGCGCGGGTTACTGTATCACACAATCACGGGACTTAAAAGTCATCCTGCTGCGAGATGGTGCGTTACCTGTGTACTTATTATCCTGCTTCTCTGGAAGGATATAGGCTGAGTCGCCGTGGAGCCGTTTATAGAAGTCGGATCAACCCAGTTCGGAAATCGGCGCTTGGGTGGCTTTGGTGACATCAAGCGTGGGTTGTTGTTGCCGCACGTGTGGTAGCGCGTCACTTGGCATTACCTCATTTCCGCCCAACCTTTTGGTTTTTAGCTTTTTTCCAATTCCAAATACGCATTAGGATCACCAAAATAGTAGTAGTCGAACACTTACTACTATGAAACCATTGCTGTTCATCGCTAACTGCGGAAAATAAAAATGACAGAGTACGCCATAGCTTTCATGGTTAAGTCAGTGTATGCATTTGGAACTCATTGATATGGCAAGCAATTGGTCGTTGATCAATACGTATTGGGATCATTGCTTCCGGGATTTCCAGCGAATTCAACTTTACACTTTCTGAATGAGTCGATGATAGGGATCTGCCCTATTACAAGTCTAATGGCAGGACTGGACCCGATGACTGAACAGAAGCCTTTTCATTTATTTTCAAAACGAGCTTTCTGTCAAATTCGACTTCCTGGGACTATTAGTGGGTGCCCAAATCTGCAGTCAAAAAAAGGATGAAAAGCCTTTAGGCGTGAATGAACTTCATCTGCACTCGGCTTCCATCCATAATAGTGGTGGCCTAATGAATGCGCATGTGGCCCATACAATGATTACGGTGGCAAGCCTATTTAGAAAACAGTGTTTTTAATCTTTCCAGGCCATTCCGCTACCAACTAACCATCGAAGGGATGGAAGACTTGGTTGGCCATATCGGTCCAGGAATCGAACCCGTGACCATATGTGCATGACAGTGCGCCACCTGCCGATACACCACCTTTTCCTGAGTAACTCACTCATCCTACCTAATATTTTATGACTATCAATAGTAATACTATCACGGCATAAAGTCGAGTAAGTTTTTTAATGATATAAATCGGTTCACTACTGGCTTAATCGTGCGGAGTGGACGAGTGTATACAAATTTCATTTTGAGCGAAAAAAATTAGTTAAAATCACATTAGCTAGCTAATCGGAATGACTAAATATAATTTACAATTTTTTTCAAGCCCACGTAAACAAACAAGACCAAGTGGTCCAGCGGAAATTGTAGGTTGGCGTGTTTGTCATCATCAAAACCCACACGGTAACACTAATTGAATCATATATGTACGTGTCAAAGCTAAATACAAATATCGTGTTTACTTCATTTCTACCTTGATATAATCATTAACTTATTATAGTATGACGTCAATAAAAATATAAATAATCATAAATTTGTATTTCCTTTTCCTCGAACTCCATTTCCACCTCTGCCGATTTTGATTTTTGTGCTCAGACTAATTTTAAAAAAGTCATTCCCTTTTTTCTCAACTTACTCGGTCGAAGAAAAATTCAAGTATGACATTAAGTTCGAGATTCTCAAATCCACAGAATTTTAAGCGAAATAGTCAGAACTTCCGGAGAATTACTTCCCTGGAAAACTAGTAGCCAAGAAAAATTAATTTGACGCCCCTTCCCCCATCCCTTGTCCGTTTTTTTGAGGTTTATGAAAAATCCCACAAAAAAACGGGACTCAGTTAGGAATTTCAAACAAAAAAGTTCATGCGCCAGCTTCATGAGAAGATTATGGCTGAGAACTTGGCTCATGTAGAAAATAGCCGTTCAAGTAGTTCGCCCTTACCATTTCGTGACAACAGAAAGTGCATGGCTCCCTTCGTATTTTTAATATAGTTCAGGTGCAAAGACAAAGCTCATGAGTGTGACTTTTCTCAAACTACCGGAGCCTTCCAAGAAAGGGTTGCAAGCTATCAATGGAGATTTGTTTCTTTAAAAGCTAAAATAGTGTTCAGATGAATTCAACTTCTAGCTCAGGTTATGTGCAGACTTTCCAAATTAGGACAACTCTCTCTGGATCCTTCTCTATAGTCCCTTTATAGGAAAGGTTTTGGGAACACAGATGGACATAGATGGATTTCAAGGATCACATGGCTCAAGAGAAATCCAGAGAAGTTGTGATACTTGAGGTCATAAGGGTATAGGTAGGGTACTTGTAGGCTGATGGAAAGTCTATATTGTATAGGGCCAGTACAAAACGTTTTGTAGTAAACTGTAAAGGTAGTACGGCACAAATCTTCGGTAAGAAACCGTAGTGTATAACTTTTAGTCGAACTAATAAGTACAGATTTGTTCCACACCGTTCTATTACCACAAATTTTTTATAGGAGAAATGAACTAAGATGAAAGAGTTAATGGTGAGCTTAATACGAGCTTTGCTAATGAAGATGGAATGGCTGCTACTTGTAGGGCAGCTCGGAAACCTACACCGAGTACCTACCTTTACAGGCTTACAGCCCTCATGAAGTTCAAGTCACCTTCCGATCAATTCGGTCTAGTACTATTGAATATAGATCTTCTAAACCAGTTTTCAATTTGTGATTACAGCATGTTATAAATTAAAGAAATAATGCAATATTTATTTATTTATTTATTTCCATACGTCAAAACGACATAATAATATAATATAACGTCAATATATTACAATCCAGTTATTACTGTATGATAAAACTTTTATTACTGTATTATTGCTGTATATTATTGAATTAATTAATTTATTATTATTACGTGTCCTACATATTTTGTCCTGTAACAATGCATTTTATGTGAAGTATGGTTATGTGGCTCACACGACTACGGTAATTGAGTTATCATATAAATAAGTTTTTTCATGAAGGTGTTAACAACAGTAGCAAGATGTTGGAGCTGAGTTTCCTTCTCCGATAGAAAAAAGAGGGTCTCTTCTCAGAAAAAGAGTGGAGCTAATCTCATGGCTTGATCCTGAGTCCTTCATTTGACATCCGGCGCTCTTCTACATTTCACCCATCTGTCACCCGAGGAGATAAAATTAAACTTTCCTTCTCAAGAACCCCGCCTAGTACATGGGCTATATATTGCTCTATGGGTCAATTATTTGGTTCGATTAAGAAGCAAGTTAAAAAAGGTAACGAAGTAACTTTCATGCCAAAAGACTGCACATGAAGTTGCTAGTGAGCTCAATGAATTCCTCAGTTGAAGGCTTAATGACCGGCTTTTTTCCTACTTGATAGTTTTTCTCAAGGAAATGGTGATTCTTTTCAGTTGCCCCTTTACCGTATTCAAAATCCTACAGTATCTCAACACTCGTTGTTTATTCTATCCGTATTTTGTTACTTGTTGTGTTAATTAGAGTTAGATTCTCTAAATGACCAGTCCTGGTCCTTTCTGTCATGAGAGCACATGGGGTACAGTAGTTAAGCAAAAAATTGAATGAAAACCGTTCTTGACACTCACCTGCATCCTGTAGGGGACAACTAAGCCGGAATAAGAAGCAGCTGGGTAAGAACTAGGGGAGGAGCTTCGGCCTCAGCCTTAGAACTACAATGCCTTCTCCCCCATAGCCCAGCCCAGCCGATCCCGCCCAATGATGACTGCCTTGACAATATTTCTGAAGAACTTAATCATACCCACTTACTCACTGGGAAAGGTGCAGTCTATTGCTATATTAAGTACAAGTAAATCAAGCCCATGCACCCTATGGGAGAGTCCATAATTTCTTTTTCGATGAATGCCATAAATAGTCATGGGACAGTGAGAACGAGTGGGCAATGGTAAGGCACCGTGAAGACACTAGGACTCATTGAAAAGAGAGCAATTCAGGCAAATCCGAGGTCTTGCCTTAGGGAAGGTCCTCACCTCAAGGGAGGAGCGGGAGAAGCCAATAGGAAGGAATGGCCGGCTGTAAGATCTGAGTCTGAATTCTTTTCGATGAACAAGTCTGGAATCATATCAAAATATATGTAGCGGCATCTATAAACTGAAATTGCTCCGAGTTTCTAATAAACCGAAGTCCATGGGTTGGAATTCCGGCTGTTTTCCTTTTATGGATCGACAAGGAAGAACAAGAGTAAAGAGTAAGAATTTCTACTGATCCTAGGACCTATAAGAGGGCTCCGAATAGGACAAAGCTGCCATTATCTCACAAATATCGCTAGCAAGTTAATATGAAGTTTGATTGTCAAGCTCCTTAATTTATATACTACTGATTTTGACCAAAAGTCAAGTGTAGCCTTCGACAACGCGAAGACTAGGCAGAGAGATATAATTTTTCCAAATGAAGCTGACGCCTCTATGCTTCCTGGCCAGCTTTATTTACATAATTCGAATGACTTTTGCCCGCATATGGGCATCCTGCGTACATATGTAGGCAATTCGAACACATTCAGATCCATAGAGATTTATGGGGTCAGAAAAAGTGCTGGACAAACATATAGTTCTTTGAAGACGCCACCACATCTCTCCATGGAATTCATATATGGTTGGGAGGATTCAAAAAGAGCAATCCTAGTACCTTCAATGAGCTCCAGAATTCTGAGACGTCTATACTATCCGGCCAACCAGGTCATGTTGAGCTGGTACACCCCAAAAAGTAGCAATCGGTCCATGCTGATTCAGGTGGTTCTGAGGGGATCGAGTCCGACCACCTATCTATCCGTTCGTTAAAGTAGAATGGCGGTGTACCCCTGACGCCAAAGTTCACGGAATGCCCTGGTTATGGTAAAGAAAAATTGAGTTGACCAACGAGTATGAACAGAAATGGGACTGGAACGTAGTGAAAGCGCTCGCTTCAGTGGCCTCAGACTCCTTCGATTGTATATGCCTTGATAATAGCTGTACTTGAGACCATTCACAAAATGGCATGAAATTCTTTAGGAACAAATATATCTGCTCTCATGTAATACGTAGGTGGCTTGTGCAACCCCACAGGCCCATTCCCATAGGATGTATCTTCCGAGTTTCTATTATTGGATGTGATTTGACTTGAAATTTTGCTCAAACCCTTCGCCATGGAATGCTGTAGAGCAGATGCATATGGAATGGCATGGAATCCTAATGGAATGGATTTACTTCGCTTCTTTGAATTCGAAACAGTAGATTTTCGAGCCGGTGCGTTGACATCCATGTAAACAATAACAAAGCAATTTACAAGAACGGCTCACCTCATTACCTAGTTTGAGCATCCGTTAGTAATCATAATTAAAATGGGGTAAAGTACTTTTCTAGGTATGGTTTTTGACGCATATACAGAAAATGTCCTCACAGTGGTGTGATGATTCTTATATTTTCTTATTATCATTACGGTGGGTGCAAGCATATTAACTACTGAAGATCATTTTTATATCTTGTTCATCGGTAATTTGTTTGCTAGTTACTTGTTTACATTTTATTCATCCTTTTATTTACTCGTTTTTATTTACTAATGTCAGTAACCCAGTAATCGAAATTAATTGGGAAACTAGTAATAATTGAAGGTAGTCAAGGGTTTTCTTGTTATAAAGATATTGGCTAACCCAGGCATCTCATCCTACATCCTACTCAACGGTGGAGAATGAAAGTTTAGAGTGTGCATCTCATTGTGAAGGTTTTCGTATAGCCTGTAAATAACTCGACCTTCTCATTAGTGAGTAAACAAATAAATCACACGTGAAAATGTAGAATTGAATAAAAAATACAAATCTCCCACTATATGAGTCAAAATTGTTTCCTTAGTACATTGTATGATATTTGACTATTCTTTTTAAATTTTCTTATGGGTTGTTCCTTTTTTTGAGTTCATAACAGTATAGGCTTTCCAGTTTGAATCAATTACTATTTCGGTAATTATTTGGTTACAGCCCCTCAATATCTGTCTTTACTGCTCATGTTTCAGTTCATGAATTATGAAGTCTTAGGTAAACTTCCGTCTGTTCCTATGCTTGCCGTGGGCGTAAAAGAAGAGGAGGAGGAACAAAACAAGACCAACATTTCTGAGTTTTGTAGGGGGAATTCTAAATGTATTTTGATGAGAAATGGCTGGAATGGACAGAGGCGCTTGGCAGAGTACACCCCAAGTCGGATGCTTGACAAATGGACCAACTCTAGCTTCACCATTTTTCTAGTTTGTCTTTTTATTTTCATTCTTACCCACTTTTATGCGTAATTTCCGTATTTAGCAGTTATTTGACTTACTCAACTGGCATGACCCAACTTTTTGTCTCAAAGCTGAGCTTGGTATCGGGAGCATTGAAAATGAATCCATCATTTTCCCGGGGGTGATTCGGTGAAAGCAGTAACTCCGACATTCCAAATTAGAATGCCCAGTGTCTTCCTCGTTCCGTATTTGGTCACATGATGGATTCATATTCAATTCCCGGGAATTTTAATCTTCTTGAGATTGTTTGCTCAATGCGAGATAAAATTGAGTAGTGGCCTTGATAGCTCNCAACATTTTTGAGTTTTGTAGATGGAATTCTAAATGTATTTTGAAGAGAAATGGCTGGAATGGACAGAGGCGCCTGGCAGGGTACACCCCAAGTCGGATGTATGACAAATGGACCAACTCTAGCTTCCCCAATTTTCTAGTTTATCTTTTTATTTTGATTCTTACCCGTTTTTATGCGTAATTTCCCTATTTAGCAATTATTTGTCTTACTCAACTGGCATGACCCAAATTTTGGTCTCAAAGGTGAGCTTGGTATCGGGAGCATTAAAAATGAATCCTATCATTTTCCCGGTGAAAGCAGTAACCCCGGCATCCCAGATTAGAAAGCCCAATGTCTTCCTCGTTCCGTATTTGGTCACATGATGAATTCATATTCAGTTCCCGGGAATTTTAATCTTCTTGAGATTGTTTGCTCAATGCGAGATAAAATTGAGTAGTGGCCTTGATAGCTCAACTGGACAAATTGGGATCCTCTGCCGCTTAAGTATCGCTGAGGGAACGCGGGCACGATTTATGAGCACAACAGTCAATTCGGAAATGGGACTCCTCATGGTAACCAACAACATCTGATTGTAGAGTAATGGATGTTTTTAGAATTGTTTTGGTTTGTATTATCATTTGTTTAGGACCGGAATTACTGGTTGTTCAGAATTTATCGCATTTGAATCCAATCCATTAGAACCACGACACATCGGTTCTTAGGTTTTTTTTTCAGTCTGCAATGGCGAGTGAAGCCGGGATCTTTCTAGGTACTACAAGGAATCTGAGCAATAGTTAGGTGGTTTCCTACAACTCAGAAAAAGAGCATTGAAGCCTTGCAGTAGAGACCTTTTGAGAAAGACGTCACCTTACTCTTTGGAATCTTGCAGAAGGAGGTCCTGCATAACTTCTTGCATAATTTCTACTCGAAGGAGGTTTCAGTTCTCGTCTCTTGCTACAGCGACGTTGTATGGATGAACAGAGACGGAGGACGCACCTACTTCTTTTTGCTACATTGGGGGTCACTAGGACGCTGTCAGTGGGGCGCCTAGGATTGAAGAGTAGTAATTTTTAAAAGAAGTGTTTGGGCTACGATAATGAAAGATGAGAAAGTTTCTAATTATTGTCTACCAGACTTCATTTCTAGGGAATTTCGCACCACTGCGTATGCTACCCCTCTCCAACCCCTCTCTGCTAACGACACTTCACCACAAAGTTCTTTGTAGATGGCAGCAATGGCGTAGGAGCAGAAGTAAGGATGATCGTTTCCCGCTCACGAAAAATCCGCTCTACTCCTATCTCATCTTTTGAGAAGGATATCTCAGGAACGCGTCGATCACGGATAGGCAAGAACTTAACGTTAAACATTGAAAGACCCTAGACTTCTGTGAAGGGGCACCTACGAGTGCCTCAATTGATAAGCAGCCCGGTCCTACTGCGGATCTACTCCTCTAAGTGCCTGGAGACGTTTGGGAACGTTCAGGTTCTCTTCTGAAGACGCGGCAGCGGAATGAAAGCAGAATGCCTAGATGATGGACCATAGCGCTCTCATCGCCATGAGACCACCAGATGGATGTCAATCAATGTCGGCATATCTCTGAAAAATTAGCTCCCGTAGAAAAACTGAGGGAAATGTAAATGGCATTGCAGTATGTGTGATTTATGTCATGTAATTAGCACTTACTGTGATGGAAGTTAGGCATCGCTTTGTAGGAATGCAACCAGTTTTCAGTTCTGGGAGGTAACACGACTACTATTTCATAGTTTTGCCACGGAAAAAATGCAACTCACCGCATTTCTGAAATTCGTATGATGCTTGGGAGCTCGTAATTCCTTTCTTTGCCAGAAAAATTGCAAAAGAGGTTTCAGAATCCAGGGCTTCGACAAGGCCACAGTGAATCAAAAGTCAAGGATGCTGGTCCAGCTTGCTTCCCTATGGTTTAGAATCGACCAAGAGACCGAGGTGAGACCGGTGTTGAATATTCGTGACAAGATCCTTTCCAGCAGGGATAGGAGGCTAATTTGACACCCTTCACCTCTGAGAAAAAGCGAAAGGATA